TTAGAAAAAGTGTTGGTGATATTTCGAGGTGGGCGTGTCTGATTTGTTTCACGGTTTTGGAGCTGCGTTGTTTGTTTTGATGAAGTTGGGGGTTCTTTGCTTGTTTTGGAGGCTTGCAACACCGCCAAATGCGACCACACATGTTCGGGGCTTCGACCAAGGGAAAGCAAAAGAAACAACTCATTTTGGAAGGGCTCGAAATCTTTTGAGGGTACCCTTTTCAGCTTGGTTCAAAGGAGAACTAAGCCTAGCTAAGCCCCTCCTGAGCTCGTACTTGCCGTAGCCGTCTTTGCTCGGCGTCGGAAAAAGGCGTGTGGGGAACACCGCAAGCCACTTGCAGAACTCGGCAGCTGGCTTGGTCAAGCTGACCCCATCACGTGTTTCATCTTTGTTTACGACAATTACCGTGAGAAACGGTCCGTTCCCTCAAAGTTTGAGAGGTTGCTTCAGTCAAAAGCCGCCCACCCAAACCGCAGAATCGGCACACGCCACCCTGCGTAATCAACGAACTGGTGCAGAAACATGTGGGGTTTGTCAATGGTGAGGAGCCAACTGAAAACGGAGGCAATGGTTCAGCGCGTCTCTTCTGCCAAAGGTGTGCTGCCAGAATCGGCGAACCTGGAATGTCTTCAACAAAAGGGCCCTAGCCTCTTGCTTCCGTTCGGCTTCCCATACAGTATCCTGCATATTGACCCCGAATTTGATTCCGCCCCTGTAGTAATCAACTCGTCCTATTGTTGGCGCCCCAACCAACCAAAAACGGGCAGTTCCCAACTCAGTCCCCAACCCACCCACCCCTGGACACAAAACAAAAAAAGGCTCAAAGGCGACACACGCCGGGCGGATCGGATTTCGGCCTCAGGGTCGAAGAGGCGCCGATGCTTTGGGCTGCACCCATCCCCCGGGCCCCCATGCAGGAAGACCGCCGGCTTGCCTTTGGGGTTCCCAGAGACCTGGCACTCGAGCTGATGGAGCCGAATCGCTTGGTGCTCTGGAGGCGTCTTGCCATTTCCCCTCTACAAGAAACGGCGGTCCAAATCCGAATCCAAACCGCCAATCCAAACCACCCCTACGAAATGCGAAGCTTCGGCTTTTTCGGTGCCGAACACAAAAACTGCGGGGGGATTCGGGAGTCTGGAAAAGAGGTTGAAAACGAAAAAAAGCACGCGTGGAGTGAAGGTCAAAATGGTTCGTCTCCTTTCAGGGACATTCAAAATGATCGGCTGGTTACTGCTGCACCGGCAGCAATTGGTCTGCTTCGGCGCGGCAAACCCCGACAAAAAGAACACACCAGACTGGTCCACTAAGCTCCGTCTCCTCATGCCCCTGGTTGCCACGGTCAGAGATCCCTATGTGGGCATGGACATGCCCGCAATGATTAGCAGAAACCCTTACAATCCCTAACACACCCAAGAAAGCGGATGCTTTGAACCCTCACCACGGTGCCTCGTAGTAGATCTCGTGCTTGCCGTCCCTGGTCTTCATGCTCCCCGTTTTTCTAGCCTCAATCTCCGGGTAGAGCGGTCTCAGCTCCGACCCCTGACACCTCGCGTCCAGAGTGACTCCTCAAAGATACCCAGATGCTGGTTTCAAAGGGGAACCCCTCAAAATTGCCCACAAAAAAAAATAACAAAACAAATGAGAACCCCTCAAATGATTTTTGAGGCTCCCAGCCTCACCGCCAAACTGCGAGCAGCTCCCGCAGGCCTGGGTCCAGGTCCCACTTTCGGCCGGCGCTCGGGTCTCGGCAGCAGCGGCAGCAGCGCCGCCGCGGGCGCCAAAGCGCGCGCCAAGTGCGCGAGGCGCGGCATCCGCGCCATGAGCGGCGCAGCTCGCGCTGAAGGTGACGCCAGGACGGGCGGCCGTAAAGGCGCGCCCAGCATCACAGGGCTTGGGCCAAAGGCGGAAGGTTGCAAGAAACTCCAAGTTGACAACGCCAGTCTGCACAAATGACTCTTCCCAAACCAGAGTTTTGGATCCTGTACCTTCATTGGTTTGCTTAAGCCATTCGGTGATCGCAAAGTAGGATTCCCATCCCAATTACTGCTTCATCGCTTTGAAGGTCTTTCAAGAGGATTCCAGTGACCACTCACAGAAAGTGATGACCAAAAACCACATGTCCAAAACCATGACCCCTATAGACCATCCCATGTGCCCTTTTAAGGGAAACCCTAGGTTCATTCCCACCGGCATGGTCATTCCCTACCTAAAACGATGGAGGAGGTTGGCCAATTCGTCCTTTGAGTCGCTCTGAGCCTTCGTCTTCTCTGCTTTTCACGGCCGCTCGGTGCTTTCGGACAGCGTGAAATCCCAGGCCCCGCTTTTTGGGCCCGACACGATGAAACTGTCATCGTTCTGGAGGACCTGTGCTTCCCCAACCTGGACAAAGAGCAGCGAACGTGCGTACCTCACACTAAGATGATGAGCTTGACTGACATGAAGAAGACACGTGATTAAAAAAAACAATGTGAAGTCCTTTTCAAGTCAACAGGACTTCTTCGATCAACGCCTAATAATTAGAATAGAGTTTGGCCCCCAACATCAAACATTAGCTTGTGATGCTTGTCTCTTCAATTCTGGGCTGGCCCTTTTCAGATCACTTGCAAAAAAATAAAAACTTTTAGTGAGTTAAATTCGGAAGCTGCGACCCTGAAGCCCACTCCAAGGCTACACTGAAACAGACTTTTAGCCGCAAGATCCATGCGCTTTTGAGCGGATCAGGCCATCTATTCACATCCAAAAGAGGCCAGTCGCAACTGAGGCCCTCCTGCATCTGAGGCTTCTCATCGAGCCCAATCCGAGAATGGAACGAGGGCACTTGATGTCCGAAACTTCGGCTTGCAGAAACTGGCAGGCGCTTCAAGGAGCTTGGTGGACGGGTCAGTAAAGCGGAAACGCACACAGCTCAATAGATCCGAGAGGAGTCGGGTTGGATTGGGTGCATGTTCACCAAGGGCCTCGGCATTTCAAACTCTTCCAACCTAAATCCGAGCTACTTCTGGCACCTCGCTTTTGCGAGGGCCGGAAAAGGAGCAGACAGCCGCCCGCTTCGAGCCTTCGGAAAAATCCCCCAAGGCCCCATCGAGCGGTTTCCGGCCGCAGCGAAACGGGCCGAAGGCTCGGGGTTTCCGGTGACTCCCTCAGACTGGCATGGAAGCTCTGAGGATTCGATAGATGGAACCCAGTTGTCCAAAGTGGGAGCTTCCCATGGCCTGGCGGGTAGCCAAATGGTCGCCTATCGGAAGGCTCGACTCGGGCTCGACAGCCTCGAGGCTCGAGGCGGCGTCTCACACCGCGGCCTTGAAGCGCCGGAGCTCCGAGACCTCGCGCCTGTCCCAAGAGAAAAACCCGCGGGTCCGTGAGACGGGTTTCAGAGCGGCGGCCAAATGGGTGGCGCAGACCCAACAAAAAGGAGGGGGAAGCACGAACCATGTGTGAGGGGTCCCAGCTCTTGAACATCAATTTCTGGATGAGCAAAACATGAGTCTAGCTCGTGATTTCCTGGAGCGCAAATACTTGACCAGTGCGAATTGACCACTGCAAAGATGACAAACAAGGGGAGGATCGCAAGCGAATTGCCTGCTGCTCAGAAAAGTGAGCTGGCTGGACCCTCCAAATTTGACGTGAAGGGTATCATGTTGACCCCCGACTAAAACCAGTGGTATTCGTCATGGAGAAAACAAAAAAAAAACGCTTCTCAAAAAGACTGCCCACAAGCGGGCATTTGTTTGGAGTAGGGAAACCCTTCAGGAGACGTGGAGAAAACCATTCCCGCCGGGTTCATGCGACTCGGCCCGCCAGCCATGGTGATGAGCGGATGCACTGGCTAAGCCATTCAACTGCCCAATCGGGCCACGGATCTGGGGTCGCAAAGAAAGCCCAAGAATCTGCGGCTACGTGGCCGACGGAGTCTAATGCCAGGTGAAAAACCGACCTCGGAGAACACTCACCCTTGTTTGAGCAGTGCCCAACTATCCACGTTTGGTTCGTCCAAAAGGGTATCAAAGTTAACAGGTCTTTCAAAACCGGGGAACCGGCAAACTCAACGAGGCGCTGACCCGAGACATGCCCAAAGCCTGGTAAAGAGGTTTACCCCAAAAACTGTGAATCATTAAGCCCGGATCGCAGTTACGGAAATAGTTGGTACCAAACATCCTCTTTCAAGTCTCTCTCTCTCTCTCTCTAGCTCTCTCTCTCCGATGCGGAGCGACTCCGTGTGACGCAAAAGGCATGCAAAACGAAACTAAGCACTTCAAAGGAAATCACTCTCAGTGGTCCCCTTGCGTACCTCATATTGACCCTGGATTGATTCCTCCAACCGACCAGGGGTTCTGAATCGGGGGATTCCGGATTCTGTATGCTGGATGGGGGGACTGTCCTGCTCTCAAGTCCCCGTCGCCTCAGCTCTCGGAGATCCTTCAGCATCAGCGACAAGTGGCCTCCCGGCCTAGGCAAGGTGGGCTTCTGACCCCTACACACACTGGGGCGGTTTCGCTTGAAAGAATCTCAATCAGTCCAGGATGGGGAGATTGTTGGAGTCTGTGATTGGGTCATCCAAATGAAGGCACGAAATCCGAAAGGCAGTGCCAGATGGAGGGCCCGGCTGGCTGGATGGGGAGATCGCTTGCAACCAAAGTCCCCCAACATGGCATGCTTCTGCCTCTAGCAACCATACCTGGTGACTCCTTTGGGTTCTAAAAGGGACTTGCGTTCCAGGTTCGGCGGAGACAAAACAAGAGCTTAGCTGCCCAAATATGGGCGTGGGTCAACTAGAATAAGCGCAGGTTGTCCATTTTACCAGGGCAAGCCAGCTTGGGGATACCCCATTTTTGACCCACGTCGGGGGGGTTGAAAGCTCTCCCGGCTGTCCCCCCTCCGCTTGAGGCTTCGGCTTCTCGTTGAGGTGGGCCTCCAAGTCCCGCACCTTCTCCCCGCACAGCTCGCAGCAGCACCAGGCCGAGCACTGGGCCTGCGGTTCGAGAAGTTCCCCCCACGTGTGGGGTTCCGCCCCCCTGGCGGTCAACCTTTCTTGTCTGTTTACGGCAACTTCTCACTTCCTGAGCGGATTTGCCGAGAAAAGAAAACTGTGTTGCTTGCCAAAACCAACATGTAGGCGCTTTGCTCCTAAAAGCAGGAGTTCACGAAGCCTCCAAAAACTCAGGCGCATCTCTGGGGAGACGCAAAATCCCATCCCCCTAGAAACCGGTCACATTCCCCTCCAGAAAAAAAGTGGAAAGAGGTCCAATTCCGCCTTAAAACAAAAAACAAAAAAACGGTCAACCGCCGGTCCCCAGAAACCGATCTCGCCCCCTTCCAGCCATGAAACGCGCGAACCTGCACCCCTTGGAAACCAGTGCATTTCGGTACCGACTCACTCACTCAAAGCCAGCCAAAAGCATGGCAAAGGCGAGCAACGCTCGCAGAGTTTACAATTCATGTTGAAAAGAAACGGCAAGGGTGTCAACCGACCCAAACAGTCTGTCAGAGATACAAACATTGACCCGTGGTGATTTTGGGCCCACAGTTTGCCACAAAGGGGCATGTCTGGTCCACGAGCATGGCAGCAAGACCCTGTAGAGGACCCCCCAACTCAAAATGTGTTCCCCAAAAGACAGCCCAAACACAGGGGGGCCCAAAAAATTCAACTCCTCCGCCTGCATTGCGGGGAACTTCTTGGGACTCGAGCACACAACCCCAAACATGTGGCCACATCCACAGGGAAGGATAGGACAACAAACCAGCGAAAGCCGCCCTTCAACTGCTTGCCAAATGAAGCTTCCCCTTCAATCCCAAACAGCATCGACTCAAAAAGAAACAAGCCCCAAACCAAACGCCTAACCAAACAAACAACACCCACGCGTCACCCACCACGCAGCGCCACCCCAAACCCACCGCGTCCCAGCGGAAGGCGTCCGGCGCCTGGTGCTGCGCGAGGCGCTGGGCGGGCAGCTCCAGGCCGCAGGTCTCGCAGGTCACCAGGCGCGAGGCGCAGCGCGCCAGGTGGGCCGCTTTGTCCCCCAAGCGGCAGACCTCTTCTTTGGCGGTTTTTTGAAGGGACTTGGTCAAAGAAGGGGGGGGGGGGTGATCTTCATCATCCAAAGAGGGTCAAACATTTTTAGGGGGGTTGAACCCTGGGGAAAATTTCGAAGTTGCCGCCTGCGCCATGAACACAAATAGGGCAAATTTGACTATTTGCAGGGGTCACTCGATTTCCCCAAACCACTGTTTGATCCATGTGCAGGTGGTTTACGTTGAAGGTACCCTTTGAGCTCAAACAAAGAGTTGATACAACCACCATCTACCGTTCAGGAGCTTCATCATCCAAATTGGGTCAACAATTCTTTTAAAGGGGGTTGAACCTGAAATGGGGTTGGTGCAAAGGGAAACCTTGCAAGAAAAAATCCAAAACCATTCTTAGTCTTGGGGTTCACCGATTCTGAGACAAAACCAAGTGGGGTGGGGGAGGTGGGGGGGGAGGGAGGCCGGGCGAGGGGGTGAAGCAGGAAGGGAGGTAAAGGTTTGGACACTGTGATGCGCATCAACATGTGCACGAAAGGGCAACCCGAGGAAAACCACGTGGTCAAACAATAACATGTCGAAACCATGACGAAAAGCAATTTACCAGTGAATAACATTCATTTTGCCAAGATGACGCCCGCTTGGATGACAATTTTACTTAGCAAGTGGTAGGGTTTAATATGCATACAACCCACTCAGGGGAATTACCAACTGGGTTGCTAACTGCTCACTAAGTGCGGCACAAACCGCTATATTGTGTAAACATTATCCTTGCGCTCCATACGGCTTTTTTTTACACCATGTTCCGTGTACCCGCAAAGGGTGCACGCACTTGGATGACCAGACCACTTTGAGTCCCTTAAAAATGCGTCGCAGGGGTTGGTAGTGCAATATATACTTGGATACTGCGCAACAACTTGCCAACCACCCACCCACCCACCCAACCAACCACTTCGCTACGCCTCCGGACCCAACTGCGGACCCGACTTCGGACGCACTCTGCGCGCCTCGCCACAGCTCTGGCAAGTGGTGGCCAGGTCCAAGATCGCGCGGCGGCTCCAGTAGGCCGGCGCCACCTCTCAGATGCCCAGTGGCCAGGGGAAAAAAGGGCATGTTTTTTTTTGGTTGGTTGAAGGGGAACCCTTCCCCAAAAAAAGGCAAAAGGGGCACCACTGAGCAACTGGGACCATATCTGACGGGTGGGCACCGGGAACGCGCTTGGAAGCAAGCGAGGACCCCTCCTTCAGGTGGTTTCCTGGTGGCCTCCCTTCAAAAGGGACTCTCTCAAAATGGGGGACCAATGTCCCTTCAAACCCATCCAAAGCTCGGTCTCAAGGTGCTTCTCAAAATTGGGGACCAATTCCTGGCGGCAACGATTTCAAGTAGTGTCCAGTTAAAACCCTCAGGACAAATTCGAATGAGAAACACGCAGGGGTCACGGAGGTCCAATGGGTCTGTCAGCTCACGATGGGAGAATGTACGCCCAGATGGTATTTCAACAGAAAGCCCTGAACCTTCCGTTGGGGCCGGTCACCCTTGTTCGTGCGGGGAATCTGGGTCCTCAGGTTCTCCCCAAGCCAACTCTAGGCTTCTCTCCAAACACGAATGACGAACGGGCCTCTGCTGGTTTCCCTTTACAACCGGAAAGAGGGCCCCCAACTCGGTCCCCCACCCCCCAAACAAGAAACCACCAAATGGCATGTTTTTTTTTGCAGGGCATCCCAAAAGGTTTTTTTTGAGATCCCGTGTAGGGTGAGATCCCATGTATAGGGCGACTTTGAGAACAGGCATGTCATGTCTTTTTCAAGGGCACCCTGTTGAGGGTTGGAGGGGTCCACCCAAAAAAACACCACTTCAAAAACATCACCTCTCTGCGTCGGCAAAAGAGAAATTACTTCGCTTTGAGCAATCCCCAGCCCCCACACTCACGAGCTGATGACCGGTACAACAAATTCCTCCGCAAGAATGGCGAGCCTTATCCACCTGTCTGCGTGTCAAACTCCAGTTGTCTGCGGGCCGATCTCGAGAACAAAAGCCAAGCCTCTTCCAAAACGAAACCCGACGGGGGATTAAACGAAGTTGCTATTCACAACCCAAAGCAACACAAAAGCGTCACCCTTTCCGAGCCTCAGGGTACACTAAACACGAAGGCACCAACATGAAATGTAAACCCAACTGTGCGCCGGGCGGGACATTAAGCAAAACCAGACTGGCGAGCTGCTCTGGGATTCTCAGCGGGACACTCGGCGGGATCCATTGGCGGCTGCTCTGGTGGGATACTCGGCGGGATCCACTGGCGAACTACTCTGGCAGGATACTTGGCGGAATCCACTGGCGAGCTACACTGGGATACTCAGCGGATACTCGGCGCAATCCATTGGTGCACTGGCTGGCTGCTCTGGTGGGATACTCGGCGGGATCCACTGGCTGGCGGGATACTCGGCGGGACCCACTGGCGAGCAGCCCTGGCGGGATACTCAGCGGAATACTCGGCGGGATCCACTGGCAGGCTGCTCTGGTGGGATACTCGGCGGATCCACTGCGAGCAGCTCTGGCGGCATACTGGGCGGCCACTAGCCAGCTCTGGCGCGATCCTCGGCGGCATCCACTGGCGATCCGCTCTGGCGGGATAGCGGGATCCACTAGCGAGCAGCTCTGGCAGGGTACCCGACGGGATCCATTGACAAGCTGCTCTGGCGGGATACGCGGCGGGATCCACTGGCGAGCCGCTCTGGCTGCCCGTTTGTTGAAATTTCGTTTTTTTGTTTTAATCGATTGGTTGCACGCAGTAAACAAAGCAGTTGCAGCAGACTTTTGTGGGAGTTTTCTTTCTTCCTTGCTACCAAAAATGCGAGGCGCCAACAAAGACGAGAAATGCAGAGATCTATTTTTGAAGCTCCAGAAATTGTGGTGGCTTTGAGTGGTAGGGCAAGTTGGGCTCTATTTGTCCCCCCACCCTTCGGGCAAAAACAGTCTTTCTGGTGGGCCAGTGAGGGGTCCTTTTGTGACACCCGCTTTTTTGGAACGGCTCTTCCTTGAACAACTAAGCTAGTTCCCCACCCGACAGGAAGGGGTTGTTAGATTTTAGGTTGGAACCCCGTTCAGGGGTAGGCGAAAGGTAAAGCAACACCAGAGTCTGACTTTGGCAAAGTTTAGAAGCAAGCAGAACATGACCTCTGCGAGCAAACATGTCGTGTGGATGCATCCCCAGCCGGGTTCGCTTTCTGAAGGGTTGCAAGACACAAACAATGAAGCAATGCAACAAGGAATGACAACACATTGACATGAGTCCATTCTCCTTTTGCCTGGGGCATCCATTGAAAACACCCAAACATCAGTAACAAAAACAAGAGTGTAGTTAAAACATGTAGTTCTATCTTCAAATCAGCATGTTTCAATGTGCCCTCAGAAACAAACACATCTCCACCCACCACCTCACCCGCCGCCCCGCCGCCCTGCCGCGCGCCTGGCGCCCGTCCTGCCGGCACACAGGGCAGCGGTCATCGTCGGCCTGGCACCTCACGGGGCACCAAGGTGTCCGAGCCATGTCCCGTTCCAGGGACCGTCCAAATGTGGCGTTCCCCTTTCACCCAAACCGGCGAAAAATGCGACTGTTGACTTGGGGAAGTCCAGTGACCCCCAAAATGCTGACCCCGGAATTTGTTGATAATTGTCCTGGTCGAGTAAGAGGGTGTCGCTCGGAGTGGTACTGGGACGGGTTTCATCCGGGGTCAAACGAAGAATCCGAGGCTGATTTGATACTCTTGGTTCTTTCCCGCCAAGGGGGGATGTATGTACGCGAAGGGTTATAAGTTGTATTGCCCCATCCTTCTCAACCTGTCCGAAAACCGGTTCCCATTTTCCGAAAGCTGGGTGGCTTTCTGGAAAATCGGGTCGAGGGATGTTACCCCTAAACAAACGGCTTATGAAAGGAAACAGAAAACAAGTCGTTAAACATCACCCGCCGGCGCTGTTCTGGGAGTTCCACGAGAAACATTGTGCCTGAACATGCGTTCGCTTCCAATGAAAAGCACGCGCCAGCCACAGAGCCATCTCCCCGCTGGCTCAAGGGCAGCTTTGTCCCGTCCTTCGACCCCATCACCGAACAAAAGAAGTTCAACCAATGTTGGCAAGGCGAAAAAGGTTGCACCTCTCAAATTCTAGGGGACATCGAAGTGGAACCCTTGAAAACCCTTACACCACGAGCCGTGGAGATGCAATAAAAGCGCGCACAGGACGCAAATTGTTAAAAGCCGAAAACCCCTTTGACTGGATGCCAGCAGCAGATCACCCAAGGATGGATTCCCAACCCCCACGCAACAAGATGCGAAGCCACCCAAGGGATTTTGACGTCTCCCGCGACACTCAGAAGGACCCCTAAAATGATGCCTTCCCTTTGGGATACATTTTACACCGCTGACCTGAAAAAGCGAGCAAGCGCACTAAACTCCAAATGGAGGGTTCTCATCTTTCGAGTACAACTGATGAGTCTCGAGTACAACTGATGAGTCTCGAGTACAACTGATAAGTCTCGAGTATGAGGAGTTTCGGCTCGCAAGACGCTTGGTTTCCGCGGGCAAAGAGGGGACCTTGTTGGGGGGAGTCCTCTGGCTGCCCACGACGGGGCCCAAGAGCGACTCGATGCAGGTACATAGCTGAGCGTCCCCAGCCACCTCCCTTCCAGTGACCTAGCTTCGTTGGATCAGGTCAGTCACTGGAAGCCTGATCCCCCTGCATGAGAAATTGTGGTGGCAGGGTATTCTGCCACTCCGCGCACACACACACACTAAAAAGAATGTGACGCCACCAAAAACAACAACGTGTGACAATTGGATATGTGTTTTGGGAGTTGGTAGCCTGCTGAAGTTGGTTTAAAGGAAACGACAACAACAATTCCCTCAACGCTTTGTATTTGTTCGATTTGTTTGTCGTTTTCTCCTGAGGTGTTTTTAGTTTTGCAAATGGGAGGCCTTGCATGATTGCTGAAGAAAATGCACGTGAGTAATCACGTGAGTAATGTCTTGATTGTTTGGTCTTCATGTTCCTGGATGTCTTTAGTTCAGAAAGTATCATGTTTTTTTGGACGAAATCACACTTGTGGACATCCAAAACAAGAAGCCCACCACTCAGATTGCTTTCTGGAGAGCTTCTCCCAAAAGAGGAAACTTCAAAAAAGGTAGGCCCCCTTTAAGTGTCCTCCAAACCAACCCAAACTAGGGTAAACTATCCCGAAAACAAACGGCTTCGCTTCTGACCCCGGAAGGCGAAAAGCGCCAAAAGCGCGCCATTAGAGCGCCAAAAGTAAGCGCAAGCGCCTCACCCAGCACATTTCGCAGAAGAGCTCTCCGCACTCGTGGGCCAAGGCGTCTTTGGCCACCTGCAGGCAGATGGGGCACCGGCTCCGCATCGCCTCCTGCGATCCGGATGCCGGGGGGGGGGAGAACCCAATGGCCGAAAAAGCGGATGCCGGAGTCAAAAGTTGGAAGTTGGAAGAAGTTTGGAAAAAAGTTGGAAAAGGTTGGGAGGGTTGGGGAAAAAAAAAAAAACTTCTGGGCATCGGGCAATAGCCATAAATGGGGTGACCCAACCCTTGCCACCCACACCCAGAGGAAGTAACAGGAGGCTTAAACAAGGTCACAGTGTCAACGCACAAAGGAAATGAGCCGCTGCAAATGTTCCTTGCGTTCCGCCTGACATGGAAATTTGGCGAGTAACCCCCCCCCCCCCCCACACACATTTCCTAAAATCAAGTTGAGTTCCGTGTGCCTAGCGTCATCCCGTTGCAATATTGACTGCGGAGGCGGGCCCATGTTTCTTCGCAGAAAGGTGGGAAGGCGGTGCAAGGAGGAGTGCGGGAAAGCCGAGCTGTAACTAACAAATACAGGAAACAAACAAAACTCGACACTAAAACAAACAAAGCAAAACCAAAAGAACGAACTAACACAAACAAACAAAGATGCCACGAAAATCCCTGAAAAGTAAAAGGGTTTCACTGGCCTCACATAGACTTCTGCTGCGCGGCTAGGCACCTTGCCAATGACCCAACTCTTTGTGTTGAAAGACTCCGTCCACTCTCACTTGCTTAAAAGACCTAACTTTGGACCCGCCCTCTCCCTGCCATGTCCCCCGCCTCCCCGCCCCGCCGCCTCCTCTCCCCGCTCCATCCCCCCGGCTCCTCCGGACAACACCAGGCCTCCTCATAGCCCTCGCCTTCGCCCCCGGAGCTGCCGCCGCCGCCCTCGCCCTCGGCGCAGTGGACCTCCACGGCGGCCAAGGGGCACCACCCCCGCGACGCCTCGAAGGCGCGCGGCGGCGGCCCAAGATTGATGTGCAAAAAATATAAGTGTTATGTACAAAACAAAGATGTATCCAACGTTGAAACGCCGTTAAATGCTCTTTTTCTTGGGCTGGGAATGGGCAGAAGGAGGTGGTAGGCAGTGGGGAAGGGCCAAACACAAACGAAAAGAAAAGAAAAATAAAAAAGAAAAACATCGGTGGGAAGAGCGGCGCTGAGAGCATGTGACACGGAAGTCGGCAAGCTTGGCTCTCCCATAGCATCGCCGCGTTTTAGTCAACACCCCCTCGGCATCTCCGCTCTTTCGTCTACAAAACTGTCTTCCATTGACTAAACGTAGCTGTCGGCCGCATTTGCAGACTAAATTGGTTGGCACTAGATTGGTCGACTGGTCAACACCCTCAGCATCACCGCCGTTAAAGTCAAGACAATTGTCTTCCGTTGACCAGACGCACATGTCCGAAACCACCACGAACAGCCACTAAACACTAGCTTCTCTAGCCTCTGATTTCTCCAACCTCCAACTTGCTAGCCTCCAACTTTTCCAGCATCTAACTTCTGCAACCTCTATCTTCTCTAGACTCCAACTTCCCTACCCTTTAAATTCTCTAACCTCTACCTCTCACCTCTAGCTTCTCTACTTAATTGGTCGACACTCCCAACATCACCATCAGTTTAGTCTACAAATATGACATCATCACCGCCGTTTCAGTTTAGCAAAACGTCTGGCGTTGGCTGCACGTGGATGTTCGACACATTTGTAGACTAATTTTGTCGACACCTGTTGAAGGTACATGTAGGACACGCTTGTAGACTGAGCCAGTCACCACCCTCAGCATCTGGTCAACACCCTCAGCATCACCGCCGCTTTGCTCTACAAAACTGTCGTCCGCGGACTAGACGTGGATCTCGGGCGCGTTGGTAGACTAAATTTGTCGGCATCCTGAGCATCACCTCGCACGCACACGCGCGTGCTACGCAATCATGGGTCCTTCACAAAAGCCCTGGAGCTCTGCGCACAGCATTCCTGAAGTCCTCCCTTCTCGAAGACAACAAGGGACTCGAAATGTGCGTTGGTTCATCTTGTCCTCACCCTTTTCTCAAAAAAACATCTCGGATTCTAGACATCCAGTTTTTTCCTTGCACTCGCACAAATGTTTCCACGTTTCTAGAGCCGCCCTTGTTTCATCATCAGCCTCAAAAAAAGGTGAAGCGCCCCTCATATGGGTCAACTGAAAAGAAATGGGGCAGTCCCTCCGTATTCCAAGGCAATAACCCGGAAAAGGAACCAGTGGGAATGAGGTTCGAAGAAACAAGCCCTGAGTTCCTTGGACAAACACGAGGTCTGGCCGGTGCCGGTGAGGCCTTCTGGCTCTCCCGGGCACAAACGATTCTCGCTCAAACTGCTACCCGCAAATCGCCGATGGAGAGGGAACGCCAAGGTGTCCTAAGACCAAAGAGCAAAGAGCCCTTGAACCAAGCCCTTGATCAATGGCTTGCAGACCTGAACCCAAGACCTGGCCCGTTTCTACAATGTTCAAAGTCACACAATTCAGTGGCAGACTAAGGCCCCCCCAGTCACTGACTTTGAGCCCAAAGCCAAGCCAAAGTGATGACACACCCCCGCCTGGAACCAGTCGCCCTGGATCGCCTGACATCCGAGTTGACGTTTGGTTCCACGAGCCTCAAAAAAAAAGACACGCCCCATGTTGGGAGCTTCTCAAAGTGGTGGACCCCCTTTTACTTGACATGCCAAGGGAAATTCAATGTTTTTTTGGGCCCTATGTTGAGAAACACCAGTTGTGGCCATGCTATCCCCTCAAAACCAGGCAGTACCCACCGACATGGCAAATCGGGTTGCTCCAAACACCCTGGCACGGTAGACACATGGCTTTGGTTGAGAAGGAAATCCAAAGCACAGCCGAAATCCATGTTTTTTGGGTGCAAATCCCTATTTTGACACAGACCCAAATGGCTCCTAAGCGAAACAAAGGAAACTGACGAGACCCGATGCAAGGCTTGGCCTTTGCAAGGCTCGGAGCACTGACTCTACCCTGAGAGCCAATCTGGCGGAACCGTTGCGTGAAAACGGAAATCAAATAACATTCGTTTTGCAGCCCGGCCAACCCAAAAGGAGCTCAAAAAAGTCACCTTTCCGGCGCACGCTGGAGCTTGAAACAAACATTTTCGAAGGGGCAGCGATTGATCTGTGGCTGAAAATGAGTCATCATTCAACCTCTACAAGTGCTTGCAACCCTTTTGTCGGGGTCGGGGCCAACCTCATGTCCAACCACAAAATCGAAGCGAGGGGCCAACCTCTTCGGGCAGACAAGAGTCGCATGCGAAACGAGCACACGACATCGTGTGTATGTGTGTGCCATCAAATCCAAAGTCGGATCGGGAAAAGTGTATCAAACACAAATCGATGGTAGCTATCTGAACCCTAAAGTCACTTGTGGCCCAAAGGCACCCCCCAAAAAACTGCTTCGGTTCTCCATTCGCTTCCACCGAACAGGGCCGGCCAAAATGACACCTTCCAGCTGGCTGGTCAAAAATGCGGTAACCCCATGGCTTGCCCTGGTAAATGGCCCACACCCCGCCGGGCTCGCGCCTCGATGGTGTGCGTGTCCCCCAGCTCGAGCGCCAGCCGCGGCGCGGGGGAAACACCGCCGGAGGCGGAGCCATCCGCGCGGAGCACCTGGCGAGCCGAAGGAGCCACGCGGAAGGAAGCCAGAAACACATCTGGGGCGTATTCTTTGGGGCGTATGTTGAAAAAAAAAATGGTAAGTACAGCTGGCTAGGACCCATGCTCCATCAAGCAGGTCTCTATGCACAGGAGTTTCCAGTCCCAACTCCTGTCTCCCCGTGTTCCCCAAATCAAGCCCGATTATGGATTCGGAAGCCAAAAGGAGGCTGTTGAAACAATTTATGTGGTTTCAACCGTGGTTTACACAGTTTCCCTGTAAATCAACATCTAACCCAAAAAGGAACATTTTACTCTACAACTAGGGTTTTTTGGGGTTCCTTCCATGTTAATCAGATAATTGTCTTCCGGGTTCCCTAGAATCCTTTCAGGGCGAATGTGAGTTAACCTTCATCTTGTCTTTTCTAGGGGACCCCCCATCGCTGCTGGCTTTCCTTTTTGGCCTCCCCTTCAAAAAAGAAAACTACCCTGAAAATAACTAATAATAAAAAATGACGTGCCAAACAAAGTCCATTGTTGGGAAACCGTCCCTCGCCGTTCCAACCGCAAAGGAAGGCACCTGGCTATGAATTGTAATAGGGACCCACCTCAAAAGTGGTTGGTGGACATGAACCCCCCACCTAAATTTGATGTCCACCAAAAGGTTCCTACTTAAAATTCATGCTCACCTGAGCCACAATCACAAACCCGGTATTAAAGTGGTTCTACTTCATCTACCCGGGTTTTGATTGTGGCTCTCGCCCTTCCGCCCCCCCGCCCGCGTCCGTCCCGTCCCGTCCGCCTGCACCACGTCCCCCACCTCGAAGGCGCGGCAGACGCTCGGCGCCGGGGAGGCGTCGCCCCCCACGTAGCCCTCGGTGCTCCAGGCGCCGCACGGCACCGGCGCCGCGCTGTCCGCGTGCCTCGGTGACGTGCGCCAGACGGAAACGTCGGTCCCGAAGATGGAGCTGGGTCATATGTATGTCTATCTATCTATTTATGTATTTACTTGTTTACTTGTTTATTTGTTTATGTGCTTATTTATTTATTGTGCATATATATATATATATATGTCATATATATATATATATATACAAACAAATATGGCTGCGGTCGTCAAAAAAAGGGTAACCCTCAAAATGGGTTACGCTGAGAAATGGAATGAACCGAAAACCGGCGGGGGTCAATTCCTGGTGGCTTTATTTTGACCCCTACCCATGCGACGTCTGTGACTTCTCGTTTTTGGCGGGCCCTCTCGGCATGAAACGGGAAATCTCTGTTTCAGGGTACCGTCGGAGCCTAGAGGTGTTTTTGCGCCCAGTCTTTTTTGGTTGAAATGCATGAGCTACCTCTTGCGGCTAGTCCAGGTCCAAGCTTCCCGGTCTCCCCACTAGCCATACATAAACACAGCCAATCAAGGGATCTGTCAGTGGCCAAAATCAGAATAAGCACGCATGACACGATACACGCAAACGTGCGAAAACCACGTGACCAACAAATGGAGCCCACAAAATTGAAAGGGCGACTGTTTTGTTTCCTTTTGCTGCTTCAAATCCGCCGACCCCCTGCCTGCAAGGGGAAGGCGCTGGGGGAGTGTTCGTTTAGCGTTGGAGCGTGACTGTGGCAGCCTTCTCCCTTCCCTTTCGCCCTCGCCCGTTCAGCCCTGTACCTTACCAGCCTTCTTTCTTTCACTTTTTTCTTGTTCTTCTTCGTTTCTTTTCTTTCCTTTTCCTTTCTGCTGCCGGCGCACTCCTTTGGTTGGCGCTCGCTGTGGACACACGAGTGCGGCCTGGAAAAGCGCGGGAAGCGAAGCTTTTCTGGCTGGCCGCTCCCTCTAGACCCATAGCCTTGCTGCATATTGGACTCAGCCGCGACGTTAGGCACCCGGCCGCGGCGGAGCAGGCTGCCGGCGCACTCCTTTGGTTCGTGCTCGCTGCGGCGAAGCGAGTGCGGCCTCCAAGCGCGCTGGACGCGAAGCTGTTCTTGCTGGTCGCGCCCTGGGGACCGATAGCTTTCTACTTTCTATATAGGATTCAAAAGTGACGTTTGGCACCCGGCCGCGGCGTACCAGCCGGTCTTGGCAAGACGCACAGCAAACCCAAAGGGATGAAAGACCAGGGAGAGGCAAACTGTGACAGACGCAGGCGCACATGGGCATGGACAGGCCGGGGATTGAACCCAGCCCCTCTCGCATGCTGAGCGGGTGTGATACCACTACACCAACTGCCCCTGAGCTGAGCAGGCCGAGAGTGCTCAAATACCTGCTGCGCATAGCTTTCAGCGCTGAAGGTCCAGAGGGAGCGGCCAGCCACAAAAGCTTCGCTTCCCGCGCTTGCGCCGGCAGCAGAGAGGAAAAGGAAAGAAACCAAAGGAGTGCGCCGGCAGCAGAAAGGAAGACTAGACGCACTCCTTTGCCCACAGCGAGAACCAACCAAAGGAGTGCGCCGGCAGCAGAAAGGAAGCAAAAAGGCCGGACGAGCGGGCCGTGTCAGAGCTTCAGCGCTGAAAACTGTGCCCTGCAGGTGCTTGAGCGCTTTTCCAGGCCGCGCTCGTTTGCCCGCAGCGAAAAGAGGCCACTCAAACGCGACGTTAGGCACCCGGCCGCGGCGGAGCAGGCTGCCGGCGCGTGCGGCCTCCAAGCGCGCTGGACGCGAAGCTGTTCTTGCTGGTCGCGCCCTGGGGACCGATAGCTTTCTACTTTGTATATAGGATTCAAAAGTGACGTTTGGCACCCGGCCGCGGCGTACCAGCCGGTCTTGGCAAGACGCACAGCAAACCCAAAGGGATGAAAGACCAGGGAGAGGCAAACTGTGACAGACGCAGGCGCACATGGGCATGGACAGGCCGGGGATTGAACCCAGCCCCTCTCGCATGCTGAGCGGGTGTGATACCACTACACCAACTGCCCCTGAGCTGAGCAGGCCGAGAGTGCTCAAATACCTGCTGCGCATAGCTTTCAGCGCTGAAGGTCCAGAGGGAGCGGCCAGCCACAAAAGCTTCGCTTCCCGCGCTTGCGCCGGCAGCAGAGAGGAAAAGGAAAGAAACCAAAGGAGTGCGCCGGCAGCAGAAAGGAAGACTAGACGCACTCCTTTGCCCACAGCGAGAACCAACCACAGGAGTGCGCCGGCAGCAGAAAGGAAGCAAAAAGGCCGGACGAGCGGGCCGTGACAGAGCTTCAGCGCTGAAAACTGTGCCCTGCAGGTGCTTGAGCGCTTTTCCAGGCCGCGCTCGTTTGCCCACAGCGAAAAGAGGCCACTCAAACGCGACGTTAGGCACCCGGCCGCGGCGGAGCAGGCTGCCGGCGCACTCCTTTGGTTCGTGCTCGCTGCGGCGAAGCGAGTGCGGCCTCCAAGCGCGCTGGACGCGAAGCTGTTCTTGCTGGTCGCGGTCTGGGGACCGATAGCTTTCTACTTTCTATTTCTATATCCGCCGACCCCCCTGCCTGCAAGGGGAAGGCGCTGGGGGAGTGTTCGTTTAGCGTTGGAGCGTGACTGTGGCAGCCTTCTCCCTTCCCTTTCGCCCTCGCCCGTTCAGCCCTGTACCTTACCAGCCTTCTTTCTTTCACTTTTTTCTTGTTCTTCTTCGTTTCTTTTCTTTCCTTTTCCTTTCTGCTGCCGGCGCACTCCTTTGGTTGGTGCTCGCTGTAGACAAACGAGTGCGGCCTGGAAAAGCGCGGGAAGCGAAGCTTTTGTGGCTGGCCGCTCCCTCTGGACCGATAGCCTTGCTGCATATTGGACTCAAACGCGACGTTAGGCACCCGGCCGCGGCGGAGCAGGCTGCCGGCGCACTCCTTTGGTTCGTGCTCGCTGCGGCGAAGCGAGTGCGGCCTCCAAGCGCGCTGGACGCGAAGCTGTTCTTGCTGGTCGCGCCCTGGGGACCGATAGCTTTCTACTTTCTATATAGGATTCAAAAGTGACGTTCGGCACCCGGCCGCGGCGCACCAGCCGGTCTTGGCAAGACGCACAGCAAACCCAAAGGGATGAAAGACCAGGGAGAGGCAAACTGTGACAGACGCAGGCGCACATGGGCATGGACAGGCCGGGGATTGAACCCGGCCCCTCTCGCATGCTGAGCGGGTGATGCCACTACACCAACTGCCCCTGAGCTGAGCAGGCCGAGAGTGCTCAACTACCTGCTGCGCACAGCTTTCAGCGCTGAAGCTCTGTCACGGCCAGCCCGTTCGCAGCCTGCTCCGCCGCGGCCGGGTGCCTAACGCACTCGTTTGTCCACAGCGAGCACCAGGTTTGCGCCCTGGGGACCGATAGCTTTCTACTTTCTATACTTTCTATACTTTCTACTATTTCTAAATAGGATTCAAAAGTGACGTTCGGCACCCGGCCGCGGCGCAGCAGCCGCCCTTGGCAAGACGCACAGCAAACCCAAAGCGAGAAAGACCAACGCAGGCGCACATGGGCATGGACAGGCCGGGGATTGAACCCGGCCCCTCTCGCATGCTGAGCGGGTGTGATGCCACTACACCAACTGGTCCCGAGCCGAGGCCGAGAGTGCTCAAGTACCTGCTGGGCACAGCTTTCCGCGCTGAAGCTCTGTCACGGCCAGCCCGTTCGGCCTTTTTTCTTCCTTTCTGCTGCCGGCGCACTCCTTTTGGTTGGTGCTCGCGGTGGGCAAACAAGTGCGGGCTTGCCCGTTCGGCCTCTTTTCTTCCTTTCTGCTGCCGGCGCACTCCTTTTGGTTGGTGCTCGCTGTGGACAAACGAGTGCGGCCTGGACCAGCGCGGGAAGCGAAGCTTTTGTGGCTGGCCGCTCCCTCTGGACCGATAGCCTTGCTGCATATTGAGCAGGCTGCCGGCGCACTCCTTTGGTTCGTGCCAGGGATAGGCAAACGGTGCCAGACGCAGGCGCACATGGGCATGGACAGGGGATTGAACCCAGCCCCTCTCGCGTGCTGAGTGGGTGTGATGCCACTACACCAACTGCCCCTGAGCTGAGCAGGCCGAGAGTGCTCAACTACCTTGCTTTCAGCGCTGAAGCTCTGTCACGGCCAGCCCTTTCGCAGCCTGCTCCGCCGCGGCCGGGTGCCTAACGTCGCGTTTGAGTCCAATATGCAGCAAGGCTATCGGTCCAGAGGGAGCGGCCAGCCACAAAAGCGTCGCTTCCCGCGCTTTTCCAGGCCGCACTCGTTTCACCAACCAAAGGAGTGCGCCGGCAGCAGAAAGGAAAAGGAAAGAAACCAAAGGAGTGCGCCGGCAGCAGAAAGGAAGAAAAGAGGCCGAACGGGCGGGCCCGCACTCGTTTGCCCACAGCGAGAACCAACCAAAGGAGTGCGCCGGCAGCAGAAAGGAGCAAAAAGGCCGGACGAGCGGGCCGTGACAGAGCTTCAGCGCTGAAAACTGTGCCCTGCAGGTGCTTGAGCGCTTTTCCAGGCCGCACTCGTTTGCCCACAGCGAGCACCAACCAAAGGAGCGCGCCGGCAGCAGATAGGAAGAAAAGAGGCCGCTGGACGCGAAGCTGTTCTTGCTGGTTTGCGCCCTGGGGACCGATAGCTTTCTACTTTCTATACTTTCTATACTTTCTACTAATACTATTTCTAACTAATACTATTTCTATATATAGGATTCAAAAGTGACGTTCGGCACCCGGCCGCGGCACAGCAGCCGCCCTTGGCAAGACGCACAGCAAACCTGCTGAGCGGGTGTGATGCCACTACACCAACTGCGCCTGAGCTCAGGAGGCCGAGCGTGCTCAACTACCTGCTCGGCACAGCTTTTCGCGCTGAAGACCCACCCGCTCGGCCTTTTTTCTTCCTTTCTGCTGCCGGCGCACTCCTTTTGGTTGGTGCTCGCTGTGGACAAACGAGTGCGGCCTGGAAAAGCGCGGGAAGCGAAGCTTTTGTGGCTGGCCGCTCCCTCTGGACCGATAGCTTTGCTGCATATTGGACTCAAATGCGACGTTAGGCACTCGGCGGCGGCGGAGCAGGCTGCCGGCGCACTCCTTTGGTTCGTGCTCGCTGCAGCGAAGCGAGTGCGGCCTCCAAGCGCGCTGGACGCGAAGCTGTTCTTGCTGGTTGCGCCCTGGGGACCGATAGCTGTCTACTTTCTATATAGCACTCCTTTGGTTGGTGCTCGCTGTGGGCAAACGAGTGCGGCCTGGAAAAGCGCTGAAAACAAGCAAACAAGCAAGCAAGCGAGCAAGCAAGCAAGCCAGCAAGCCTGAACCAGCCAAAAGCCGCTGACAGACAAAAAACACCTGGGCTGGCCCCCCAGCGGAGGGGTCGGCGGCACTGGGCGGCAGCCCTTAAATAATTCAAATGTTTCCTAGCGCAGACAAATAATTCAAGGTGTCTGAAAGTGAGGGACAGTTAAAGGAAACTGCCAGTTGGCAGGCGAAGCACACCCCGGAACCTGTGGCACGAAGGCGACTGGCTGCGTCCATCAAAATGACAGCCCGAAAATCAACCTCCAAATGGTTTCCCTTTCATCCTCAAATGGTGTGTCTTTCTTGAGGGTACCCATGTTTGCGGTTTTAGGGGAACCCAAACGAGCGGCTGTGCTCACTTTGTTGAGTATCACCTGGGTAATGAGGACAAACTGACTCGCGAGCTTGAAATGCTGCTCCCCCAGCAAAACATCCAGGCCAACACAAGGAGCAAAGGCAGCAAGTGGCGCAAGAGAAAAGTGACGGATCCACTTTGGAGTTTGGCCGGTCACAAATCAAGGGCTGTCATGCACCCTCACAACAAGCGCCGGGTTCTCCCTCCCTCCATCTATCTATACGCTCCCCCCCCCCGTTGGAGTACATACCAGTTGGCCCGTGTTAGCATGTTGCATTGACACTCTTCATTGCAAAAACAAGGACGGTTGCATGGAGAGCCAGAAGAATCAGATAGACAGATTGCCGGGAGACCTGTCACTTTCAATCTTAAATCCAAAAAGGCTACTCAAACAGTCCTGAGAATCTTGCACCCTAAATCCAGGCCAGCTCCGGGGAAAAAAAAAAGTGCTTTCCAGCACTGTAAAGTACGTTCTTATGCAAGGCGTGGAATCAAGCTTCAAAACAAACTCCCAGCAAAATGGCCCTTTTATCTACCTCAGTTCATGCATCTTGAGTTCTATGTGGCACGAAAACATCCTTAGTGCCAGTGGAAAGGCGTGCTATCACGCGCTAGCACATCCTGAGCTTAAGATTGAAGATTATTAGCTCTTCTTTGCTACTAAATGGCCTCGTAGAAATCAAGAACGTATTGCCACTAAAACGCATGTGCGTCCTTTTGTTCATGTGATTCCCGTCTTTAGCGCGGCATGCGAAATAAGAGTCCCACAAGATTCAAGATTCTAAAGTTAGAGTCCAGAGAATCTTGGCGCCTTCAAGCACAAATATCGCCCGTTTGGGCTGAAGAATGGCTCAGAATGCGCCAGTGCCAACTGCAGCAGGGCTGAAACAACTGCTATTTTACGCTGCTTTTGGAGATGCCTGGAATGGAACTCCACGCGGGTGGGGGGTACCATATATATATATATATAGAGATGTAATATATATATATATATGTATATACATATATATATATATATATTACATCTCTATATATATATATTACATCTATATATATATATTACATCTATATACATATATATATATATATTACATCTATATACATATATATATATATGTAACATTATATAACAGTGTACCTGGCCCTTGATCAACCGTGGCGTTGCAGCTCACGCAGAGGGCGGGCTTTTCCAAGTCCCATTTTGAGACAACGTTGGGTTCCATACCCCCAAGAGAGGGTTCCTTCACTTTGTGCAAAAACTTGCTGGTGGGTTCCATTGAAACGATTGCCACTTTGGAGGAAACCCTGTGGTGAAGCCTTTTGAGTTTCAGGTGCTGGTAGTACCAGCCCCGGGTGTCATCCCGGTAGTTGATCTTCCAAAAGGTGTTGAAGTAGATGATGGCCCGGCCGTCCTGTGAAAAAGGCCCACCCCGCCCAAGGGTCTTTTTTGGGGAATGCCCCTTTGGGGCGGGTAGAACAGGAAGCCAAACGGAAAGCCACCATTTCGGGATGGGGGGTCTCCCTGTTTTGACGTCCACACGCACACGTCAATGCAGATGTCTTGATTTCAACAAGCCAAACACGGGGCTTGTGGCCGATTGAATTGCCCTCGGAGCTGAAGGAGTTGCCTTCAGAATGTGCGCAGCAGGAAGGCGTGTTCAAGGCCAGCCTTGGAGGAACCCCGTGGTGAAGGGAAGAGCAAAAGAGGACAACTAGTGCAACATGCGAATCCTCCGGGGCGTGGGCATGAGCTTTTGAGGTGGAGACGACATCATCTTCATAGGGGATTTGTGTCCGCCAACCATGCTTGGATGGTTCCACATGACCTTGTGGCAAATAGAAAGGTCAACTGTTTCTGCTTTGTCACATCAATCAAGAAAGAAATACAATCCCTCCTCTATCCACAGCTTCAAGAAGTCTCACAGCATGCATTCTAGCGAGAACATGTTCTGCTTGATGAATGCTTCTTTTGAATGCTCCTTTGAATGCTTGCACAATCGTTCATTGCCATTGGCGAACATTCTGAACTTTCCAGCCCACTCAAACACTCCAAGACAACCAACGACGCGCAAGCGCAACTGCCGCCAAGCCGTGGGTGTCCCCGACTGCACATTTGCAGCTGCACCAAAGAGCGTACATTAGCCCCCCCCGGAACATCCCCCGCGGCGCAAAATTGTGCTCTGGGAGGCCGTGTTCAGTGTGGGGTGATCAAAGACATCGACTGTTACGACCGGATAAAACTCCTGCTGTGTATGTAGCATGTAGATTAAGCAATCTGATTTGGGAACTTGCTGTTGATGCAGCCAAAAAATGGTTTAAAGGTGTCCCCTCTGGGCCAAGCCCTGACTTCCTTTTGGCTAGCCGTGTTTTCGGGGCCCGGAGTTGGTCAATTTCTTGCTACAATCTCCGCCCAAGGGTCGTGTCAATGCCCCATTTCGACGGGCACCAAACCCCGCAGCCTGCTGCTGGTACTTGGGCCGCGCGTTGTGGGTGCCGCACGCCACGTAGGTCCCGTTCACCCGGGCCCCCACACCTCCGGCCGTGCCAAATCTGCCTAGGATCCAAGTAGCTTGTGAGTATGTTTTTTGGAGGAAGACCCCAAATTCACCTGTTTTTGGCTTTGGTTTCCCATTAAACTACCAAACAAGGGGGTACCAACTCCAAAAAAGGCACACCCTTGCGTCAACTGATTCAGCGCCAAGGGGGTCCATTGCAGCTTCTACGGGCCCAGGAGGTTCCGTGAGAAAAAGTAGCCAAGCTTGAAAAAAGAGGGAAACCACCAGGTCGGTAAACCACCAGGTCGGTAAACGAGTTTGAGGGCTCCAACGCGTTAAACAAGCTTGCTTCAAGCTGTTGCTTTCGTCTACGGGGAGCTCATTTTAGTGAAGCTGATTTTGGCCTAACTAACAGAAGCCTCATATTGACTTTGTTTCAGTCCTGCCTCCGGCGCCCACCACACGCAAAGGGCTCACCACCAACAGGTCGTAGCTCCCGTCTGCACCCACGCGGTAGTTGTTCTCCTGAGGAAGCGCTCTTCCTGTTTTGCGTTTGTTCCACCCTTGTTGTGTTTGCTTGTCTGCTTGGTTTGATGTGTTTGCCTTTTGTGGCAAAAACAATACGCGTACAATAGCCTTTGTGGAGTTGAAGTGCCCCGCAACCCCAGTATGATTAGTCGGGCCCGTATAGCATGTCAGTTGGCTCCTGTTGCTTGTGTGTTCCGCTGTCTGCCTGTCTGCCTGCCGTTTGTGTCTGTTTGCCCCCCCCCCCCATCCTCCATGAGTTTCCATGGCGACTTGCAAAGCCACCTCCACACACCAAACAAAAAGATTCCTCTAAAACAATGTTGTCTTGGGCTCCGTGTCAATCTGCAAGGCTGCAAAACAAAAACACATAGCAGGTCCAAACTGAAAAGATTCGACAATAAACTTCAATCATGTCCCCTGATCAACTCACATTTCCACTATCCTCATCAATGCCTCACTTTGATCATCCTCATCTTCCTCATTGTCACCAAAAGACCTCATCATTTTCTTCCAAAAGAAGAAGAAAACTGCCCAACCAACCTCCCGGCCAACCTCCCCCCGGCCAACCTCAACCTCCCCCTAGCCCAACCTCCCCCCGGCACGCCGAATCCGTCCCAGGCGCGCAGGCGTTGTCCCAGCGCACCCCCACCCAGCCGGGAGTGGCGCTGAGGCGCTCCACCGTGGTGCCCAGGCATCCCCCATCCTCCAACGCGTGGAATTTTCTGTTTGAGGCTTCGTTGCTTCTTGGGAAACCAAAAAAGCAATTGAATCCCAATAATTAAATTAAATGCAATAATTGCAAACAGAAGGGAAAAACCACCCAGGGTCCAAATCCTAAACCCATGTGTGTTCAAGTACAACCTCGAAATTGGGGTTTCATGGTGGTTGAAAGCCAAGCTGCCAAAAGCATGTCTGAGAACCCCTCAAACCGACACAGCTGGACAAAGTCATTTTGCGACCTTCATGTATCTTCACATGAAATGGTGGGCATTTAAACCTTTCCAGATTACGAAGTGAAGAACCCCACTACTGGAGGTGGCGGAGGGGAAGGTTCCATGTTTGGTGGGGCATCCGCCCAAAAACTCGTGCAACTGTTTTTTTCAACCTATCGGTGTTTTGGGCCCAAGGCAACATGGTCATGGAGGTCACATGTCCTGCGGAAAAAAAAGAGGGCACCCTTTGGACCCCAGGTTTTGGAGTCAACAGGTTGGCTCTTGACCGGCTGGGGACGGATCGCACATCGCAAGGGATCGCAGGTTCCAGCCAGTGACCCCAGAAGGAGCACCGAAACCAGATGCGAAACCAAAATCGAGACAGGCCAGGGTTTCACCTGGAAAAAATGCAATCGGATTGTTTCTCCCGCGTTGTTTGGCTCGTGTGTCTTGCGGAGACCCAAACAACACGGGAGAATCAAACTAACACATGTTGTGTGCGTGTTTTTTGGTTTGTCAGGGCCTGTTGCTTGGTAAAGAATAACGGATGGATTTTGGAGCACGTCGAGGAAACCAAGCCCCTCACCCCGTAAAGGAAAAGGTTCGGAACAACTTTTTCTCAAAAAGGGGTGTCTGAGAACGCGCCGGGTCGAACAAAAGAAAGATCCTGAGCGCTTTCTGAAAAGACAAAGACTCGGACAGAACCTTTTCTGGGTACAGCAGGGAAGGCTGCAAGATCTGACAATAATTCCAAACCCCCCTGAAAAAAGGACCTCAACATCATGGTGAACTTGTCTTGCCCCCCAGTAGAATCGCTCGAAAACCATAGTTAGTGGGCAGACCTTCGTGTCTCTCCCGCCTGGTCGTTCCATCGCCAGCCGGGCCCGCGGGTGACCCGCACCCCGAACAGAGGCGCCCGCAGCAGCGGAACTTCCAGCACCGGGGCCTGGCAGCGAAATGACCCCAGCAAGATGATGGCTTACTGCCCCCCCAAAAGAAGAGAAAGAAAAATGGGCCTCCACGCCACCCCACCAAAAAAAATGACCAGCCAATTTTGAGAACACCTCAAGATGCAAGCACTTGAAACCCAGCAGCACCCGGACAACCACTAAACAAAGTCGAGGCTTGCAGCGCACACCACGTCCGACCAATAGGGGGTCCAGCCTATTTTGAGGCAAGCCCTCTCCGACTTTTGACTGTTGATGAAGGTTTCAAGAGATCAACTTATGCTTCCAGCTTCTTTGGTCGCCAGACATCCCCAACTGTCACTATGAGTATGCTGAGCAACCCATAAATTTCATGTGCCCCAGATGTTTGACTTCACAAGCAAAAGGTCCTCTAAGGCGCGTTGCCTTCACTGCTCCATTCGGAGGAAAAACAATCCACCAAAGGGCCGGCGTCTCTTACTCGGACTCCGCCCAGCGCAATGGTCCGTCTCACCCCAAAGTTCACCCCCCGAAGGGGCGGGTTACACATCGTCTTTGGGAAAAAACCAAAGTGGCTCCTTTACTTGGGTGGTGCTTTTTCGAGAAACATAGGACTTTGGGTTTTGATTCTCTGCAGACCTTTTGCGGCAAGTGGGCTCGCAGCTCAACACATGACTGCTAGCTGGCCTGGCTGGTTTGTTCTTGAGCATCATGAAACACGAGCAAGATGGTATCGTACCACATCTTCCTTACAACCACAAGAGGAACCATCTAAATCCTAGTTTTACCGTTCAACCACCCTTTCGGGGTTTATGTGGGCCATGGTCACGGTTCCCTTCATGCAGCGCCTTTTCACGGGGGTCGATGACCATCCCCAACCCAAAGTTGGTGTTTTCACCAAGGCACAGTACTCGCAGCGCCCAAAACTTTCGAAAGAGCTGAACTTTTGCAGGTGCAACTGGACGTATGGTTTGAGTAAGGCCTTTATAAACCTTGATCTTCATCAGTCAGCTCGGGTTTTCAGGTCGACTCAGTGCTTTGCCCGAAAGCTGATTTGCCACGAAAGCTGATTTTTCACGCCACTGTGTTTCATTCCTGGGTCCCCACTCCAAAAACAGCCCTGGTTTTTGGGCCACGAGAATCGAGGTGGAGCTCGGTGCTCGCTCGCCTGGGTTTTGGCTTAGCGCCATTTCGGCCCCAGGGCCGTTGGGAGACAAACCAATTCCAAAGGGGTACCCTCTAACAACACACACACACACACACACACGTGTTTCGTTGACACAACTTCACATCGGCCCCAGTTGAGTCAGATGGCCTGTGTTTCCTGCAGCCAGTCAAGAGGGTCCTGGCGAAGAAAACGCACGTCTGGGAAGACTGAAGGCAGTTGGCATCCTCTTTGATTATTACTGGGTGGCTCGTCTTTCGCTTTAGAGGGCCTAAAAAAGTGTCCAAATGGTTTCCAAATGGTCCAAATGGTTGGTTTCCAAATACCTTCCAAAAAATGGCTCCGGTGTCCAAAGGGTGTCCCTTTAAAAAGCATCCCAAAAGACCCTCAAACAAATACACACACAGTCCGTACACGATCTTCAGAGTGCCAGTCAGACATGAACCCCCATTTGGCTGTGACCCAAAGGGTGCCCCCAAATGGCACCTTGGCGAAGGGAAGATGAAAACCTGCATAACCCTAGCTCTTGCTTTTCGAACCACACCCAGTTGCTTTGTCAGCGCTTCTGGCCGGGTCAACAAAGGGCTACCAGGCTATCTGGTGTCAGACAAAGGCTCGAGCTTAGGCTTCAAAGCTTCAAGGCCCGGACCAAGCAGTTGCGCAAAAAAAAAAGACATGGGAGTTGAAATGCTTTGGCAGGAATCTGTAAAGTAATCTGGCGTGTGAACAGGCAGCTAACTATGGCTTCAGCTACTTCAAACTAAGAAAAAGTGAACAACGTTGAACAGTGTCCATTTGGGAGCGATGTGTATCTTCGGCACGGATATGTTCCTTGGACCCGTTCCGGATCAAGCAGTTCAGTTGACTGACATGGGATTCTGGTGTGGCTTCACTCCCCACTGCGTGGTCATTTGACGTTCACACGGGCCAATCCCTTTGCTACAGTACAGACTGCCGCTCAAAAACACGCAACACCCTGAGCGGCCTTTCCAAAAAAAAGAGCGGACCAGAAGGGGACATGGATGTGTGATAAAGTTGGGCTCGCTTACCCAAAGGTGCACTTGACAAAACAGCTCAGGTTGGACAAACTCCCTCAAAGCCCATGGTGAAAGATTGTTGACTTCAGGTTGTCCCTCGTTTCGGCTTCCCTCCAATGGGTGGTTTGCAGTGCTTTGGTGGCTGGTTGGGTTTCCAATTCAGCCTCAACCAGGGGTTCAATTCCCCAAATCAATCCAAACCACCAATTGAGGGCAACCTGTTTGATTCCAATGGAATGGAGTAGCCTCACAAATTTCAAGCCGCCCACCCACCCCCACAGGGAAAAGGGCCTCCACGCCACCCCACCAATTTCAAACAAGACAACAAAGGAGGAGTGGGGGTTACACCGCCCAACCAAGACACCGGTCAACCCCAAAAAAAAAACTCAAGCTCCCAACCCGGACACTTGTCTGGGTATGGGTCAAAATTCAACCAGGAATTGGACCGGTCTTTGTCCATGTTTTACCAGTCCCAAAATTGGCACGTTCCCCTAACGTCACATCACGTCACGTCACCGCCCTCTTCACCGCCGTCTCCTCGTCCTCCCTGAACTCCACAGTGGGCGCCGGCTCGGCGTCTTGGGCGGCGTAGCCCTCCGTGGTCCAAAGCCCCAAAGGCACCGACACGGAGGCGTCGGGGTGCGAGTAGTACCACCCCCCGGTGTCGTCCTCTCGCCGCGTTTCTTGTTTTTCTTGGTTGTTGTTTTCCTTTATGTTTTGCTTTTGTTTCCTCTTCTATTTCTTTGCTTGGCTCTTGCTCCTAAGGCTGGTTCTCGCATCTCACATCTTTGATTGATGTGTGGGTGTATATGGCTGTGGATCAAAAATATGTACCCCAAATGGAACCCTGATAAGTGGACATATGAACGAAAACCTGGTCGCCTGGTGGCTCAATTTTGACCCATACCCATAGTACTATAGTTCATCTTGCATATTGTTGCTTCTCCTGGTAGAACGTATATGGTTACCTGTAGCTACATGTGTCATGTATGTGAGGCTGCCTCTTGGCAAATGTCCGACTCCTCATTGCTTCTTGATTGCTTGGTCATGTCGCCCTAGAAACTCGAAACAAACAAGTCGGAGGGTGCTGGGCCCATTGTTTCAAGGCACGCTGTTGCTTTGCCTCAAAGCCAAGGCCGTGCCTCGTCGTTGATCTTCCACTTCCCTGGCAACGGGGCAATAGCCGTTCACGGGAACTCCGCTGCCGGGGTTTCTACACTCTTGGTTCCCTAAATGGGTCTGTCTTTCTTGGGGGGGACCCCTTTTTTGTGGGTTTCGATCCAAAAAAAAGAAAAATGGGGGGGGGGGGGGGGGACATACCCATACGTGTCGTGCGGGTTCCCTTCTTTGCAGGTCACTGCTTCTGGATCCCTCTTGCGGATCACGTTTTGCCACGCAAGTAGAAGCATCGCAAATCAAACGGCAAACGGCTCTGAGCTCCCCAGAAATCTCCAAAGCCTGCGACAATGGCAATCTACTTCCCTGGCGACACCGAACGCAAACATCATATCAACAAAGCCCGTGCCTCAAGGCTACATTCGAAGCCAGTGACACGCTCCTTAAGCACTGGATACAAGCATGCCCTTGCTTGAAGCTCATTCCTTTTATCCCTAAAGGAATAAGTCTCTGCACCCATTTGGCAAATTGGAGCTGAGAGGTTTCAAGGAATATGGACAACTCTCTTGCACGTTTGCGTCCTGCTTCTTACCTACGCACTTGGGTCTCAGATCCCAACGTTTCCCCCGGCGCCACTGTGTCATGGGAAGTCTTCCCTTACTGGGACCAACCCTGAAAAGGGTACCCTGGAAAAAAAACACGCTCAAAGGCATGCTCCATGTTTGCCGCTCCAAGGCGCGTCAAACCCTGTCCTTGATACACCTGACAGCTCACAGCATCACATCACCTCTTCCCACCCCAACCTCCCACCCGCCTTGGAAGTAGATGATGGCCTCCCCGTTCCGCTTCTTGTACTTCACCTTCAGGGTGGGGCAATTTGTTGCCCATGGCTACAACTGCTCTTGTTGGAACAAGGCTTATGAACAAGAAGCTGGGAAGAGGTTGCGTCAACCGCCGTTCTTCCCAGAGCCCAGACCGGGAACCTCTGCGGCCGTGCTAATTCAACGGGTGCACCTTTGAAACCAAACGAAAACCACCTTTTTCTTTCAGGAGGGGGCCGGGGGCTTCCACAATTTTCAGGAACACCATGGGTGCGCCGAAGTTTTGCCCGACCTATGCTTCCCCCGATTTAATCCCCAACGACACTCCCCGCCTTCCCCTGGTGAGAGCCGCAGGGCAGGTAGCTGCCGTTCACCGGATCGCCCACCCCGCCGGCGCCGCTGACGCGCAGAACGCCCACCACCACCAGGTCGAACTTGCCTCGGCCAAGGGAAGGGAAGAAGTCAGCGCAGGGGAACCTTTTCAGGTTGAATTTGAAAAAAGGGGAAGATGGGAAGATGCGGCGCGGTGGAATGTTCAAAACCCGATCGTCACACATACAGTGCCCAGTGGAAAGGTTTGGGGGGTTGGGCGGTTTGATGAGAATGGCAAATTGAAAGCTGTGTGTCAAAACACTCTAGCAAGGACCCCCTCGCCTTTACAATGGAATCGACAAACCACATGGCCCCACTCTTTAAACGCTTTCTTGGCAAACAGGAGAATCCCTGCTCCCCAAAAACATGAATGCGCACCTCCGCAAACCAGGCTCGAAGTTCCCGGATTGAAGCACAAATTTATCGGAAGCTCGCTGAAATTCTGACTCCAGCTTTGCCTCTCCTTCCGCTCCCTCTTGCAGCGCTCACGCGCTGCCGGAATCAGCCTATGCTTAAAAGGCACTGCACAGCCACTATCGGCCACATTGACATCTGTCAGTTTCTCGTTGCTCTCTGCCCCGTAGTTCCCAAGCCCAAGCTGTCGTCACCGTGTTGCCTTATGAGCAGTGACATGTTATGCATGTTGCCAAGAAATTCTACAGCTGCAGTCCAAGCCAACAACCATCATAGCTCAGGCAACGGAATCGTGTACAAGCAATCACAAGGGGTGGACATTCACACCTGCTCTCCCCCCTTTTGAAACCCAACCCAAAAAAGGTACAAGGCAAAAGCCTCATCCATCACCCCTTCCCCGCCCCCAACCCCTCCCTCCACCCCGCACCAAAGTCGTTGATCCATTCCAAAAAAGGGGAAACGGGAATAGCAAAGGGACATTCAACAATTCACAAGTGACAATCCAGAACCAGGTCCCTTGAAGGATCAACCAGAAAATCATCTGCACATGTGGAAACCATGTGAAGCTGGGGTCCAGGTAGTGTCTAACTTTTCCAAGATGTGGGGGTGTTTGCTCCCTATTCAACAATTCTGCAGTCCCTCTCCTTCGGAGAAAAAAAAAAAAAAAAAAACAGCCAACTCGCGCTCAACTCGCTGGCACTCGGAGTAAACGGCGCCGGGAGGCCGTCGGCGCCGACGCGGTACTTGTTCTCCGTGCCCTGGTCCCAGCGCACCGCCACCCAGCCGAAGCGCGCCTCCACCGCCAGGGTGGTACCCAGCAAACCCCCATCCTGGTCCTCCCACCTGCGCAAAAAAAGAAAGCGCCCAAAGGGGAGACCCAAAAACCAAAGGGGGGGACCACCTAATGCGTGGGACTCAAAAAAAGGCCTGGTGGAGCCAGGCTTCTGAGAACTATGCAGGCATTTTCTTTGCTGTACCTGGCTGGTGCCAGCGGAAGCGCCAAAAAGACTGGCTCGCGCAGAAAATGTCCCTGGACGTGTCCTGCTCCTTTGCTCAGCTCGGAAAGTTAGCCTATACTCTTGCAACATGACCACTTCAATCTGCTCTTTAGCACAAACAATTGAAGGCGATTATATATTTCAGCCAACGGAAGTGATTCACATGCGAACCCTTTTTTTTGCCGGGAAC